GAGGGAAGTCTGGGCCTCCCTTCTTAGGCTGCTGCCCCCGCGACCCGACCCCAGATAAGCGGAGGAAGATGGAAGTGTGAATTTTTTTCTGTAGCTGTTTCTCTCTCACTCTCTCTCTTTGTTGCCCTAAGATCTGATATTGTTAAAAACTGATGCTATATCATCCTAGGTGTTCAGATTACCTTTGGAGGAAAGAAGCTGCTGCTCTATAACCCTGATGTGTTTGCGTTTTGTTCACCTCTGCTCACTCTTTTCTCCAGAACTCCCTGTTGAAGCTGCAGAACTACCAGCAGTGCCTGGAATGCAGCGAGCTGGCTTTGAATGAAGCTCTGCAGCAGCTCAACTCGGCCCCTGGAGGATCCGCTCCTACCAAGGAAGAGTGGGTCAGCACCATAAGAAAGCTGCTGGATGGCATCGAAATCTGCTTCAGCAAGGAGCCGGACCTTCTGAGCAAAATCCCTCACTTCTCAAGCATGGCTCGACTAGCCAACAACCTCATCCAGGTTTGAAACAGAGAAGGCAGCACATTAACACCTGATTCATAAACAAGCGGCTTCACTCTGACCTGTTTTACCCTGCAGCTGATTGATCTCAGCATGAGTACTTCAGACGATCCAAAGGAGCCATACTTCTTCTCAGTCGTGCCGTGGATTATTTTATACCGGATTATCAAACACGAGGAGGCAGCTTTCGACTGCATGCTTCGGCAGCACATGTCTTTAGATGACGACGAAGGTTTTCATGAGAGATTTCTTTCTCCATCATTGATGCATTTCTTTATCTTCTTCTTTTTATTAATGTTATCTGATTTCCAGATGAACCAGAGGCGCCGATGCTTCCCTCCTCTCTGATGCTTCTGAGTACAGCTCATGAGTATCTGGGGCGTCGATCCTTATGCTGCAGCTCTGATGGGGCCCTTCTTAAGTTCTTTGTAAGACCCCTCACAGTCCTCACTCTGTTTTAAACGGCTTTGATTCAAAGTTTCACATTTCATCATAATAACCTTACCTGTACTTCTCGAGGATTTTATTTGATGGTAAAGAAACAAAGGTGTTTGTTTTTTTTTTTCTAAAGAAAAAAGATAAAATTTTATTTAATTACGTGAATTTTCAGATCTTGGCACTATTATTTTGTTTCTTTGTGGATTCTTTTCAGGCTCATGCAGCCAGGCTGAACGTGATTCTTAAGCCTAACTAGAGTTTACTAATTGGATCTGAGGCTGAACTTTGAACCATTATACAACGATCTTTGAGCTAAAGCTTTTCTTTTTTTTTTTCTTTTTTTTCTTTGTGTTGGAACGCAAGAACCCCTTTCAGAAATACTGCTCAATAAAAAAAAAAAAAAAGGTAATCTAACCAGTTACTTATACTGGTAGCAGTGCTAAATTTGTAGGATTTTAATGTAAAAACTTTCTAGAACATTATCCATAAAAGAAACTTTTCATTAAATTAAATTCCTCGGCTACGACGGAATATTAGGGCCAAGCTAGAGATTTTTTTTTCTTCTATTTCAAGAATAAAGTTGTAACATTACGAGAA